CTGAGATGTGACAGACAAAACATATATACATCTATTGATAAGACAAATTTACAGTGGCGAGGTTTTACAAAGTAAATAAAGAAAGCTAGCACAACAACAGTATCTTCCAAGGTTGATCTTGACTAGCACTCAAAATGAATCCGCAGTTATCCTGAAAAAATGTTTACCATAGTTTGATGAGTTTGGCTACTCAGTAAGTGATCATCATAATCCAAAAAAAATAATCATGGTTGAAAGATATCAATATTTTAAAAAAGAAGATCTATTAACAGAAACGCATCAACAGTTTCACTTTCAATAAATACATAATTAAGTATAATCCGAATAATTGAAATGCACATAATACTTTAACGACAGTGCATAATTCAAAGGATTTCACAAAATACCCTACTGGCGTCCCAAGTAGGTCACTTATATACCCCATCAGCGTCCTGATGGGTCCACTTAATCCCTATCAGCGTCCCAAATAGGTCCACTTAATCCCTGCAGGTCCACTTATACCTCACCGGCGTACAGGATGAGTCCACTTAATCCCCACCGGCATCCCGGGTAGGTCCACTTATACCTCACCGGCGAACCGGATGAGTCCACTTGCATACTTAAATTATTTCTAAATCTCTTTAAACATTCGAAAGCAGCAAATATCATGTACTCAACATATCACTGAAATCATTAATATGAATCTCACTGACACCATTAACAACAGTCACTTTCAATAACATTTCAAAAATAACCAATCAAATATTTTGGGCTCAAATTTAGAAAGGTAGCAGTTCGTAAAGATATTCTAGCATAATTGCCAATCTAATATGTATAGAAAAACTCTTATAGAAATTCAAGAATACGGAATTATCACAATTTATGGGATGTTAATTTGCAAATAAACATTTCACAACAATGCTATAATCAAATGCAAAAATATCAATTTTCAGATAATAAGGCAGTCATTTGAACATGAAATTTACAATGTCTAAATATTTAAAAACAGTAGAAAGAAATCTCACAATTTTACTAAAAGCAGAAATATCACATTTATTTCTAATAATTTGATAGTATCTAAAATTTTCTAACAATAGACAAGAAAAATAAATAAATTTATTTTTCTAAGAATTTACAGCATTTAAAATTTCTAACATAGATAAAATATCACAATTTTTATTAAAAAGATTATTTTTCAAGATAATGAGGTCGCGTGCGCATAAAATTTATCGCGCCTAAAATTCATGATAATAAGCAGAAATAATTATTTCATTTTATTTTTAAAAAGAATGGATTATTTTTTGAGACAATGAGGTCACTTACACACAAAACTTATAAAATAAAGATCCTAGACGGAAATATCACTATTTATTAAAAACAGACTATTTTTCAGGAAGATGATGTCACTTACACACAAATATTTGAGAGGGAGCTTCCGATAAAAATTCGGCTCGAGAGAGGAGTTCACTGTGTTTCGATAAGAGAGAAAAATCTCATAAGTTTTTTAAGGTAGGAGTCTTCACTTTTTTGAATTTAAATTCTACTAACATATTATTTTATTCTTTCATTATATTACAAGTGTGAACATTAGTTTACGCTTTAAACACCTAAAGCTTTTATGATGTTACAGGTGTGAGCGTTAGTTTACGCTTTAAACACCTAAAGCCCACGTTCTTTAGTGGACGATGGCAAGAGCAAGGAAACACAAAGCTTTTAAAACAAAAGCTTTTAAAAATAACGATGGTCTTTAAGGACCATCATGTTCAAACAAATTATCATGTATTAATAGGTTTTTTTTTTTTTTTTTTTTTTTGAAAGTTTAGGATTGTTACACACCTAAAAATAAGCTGATGATTATTTTAAAAAAATTAATTTTGGATTGACCTCTTAAACATGTAGATTTGACAGTCTAAAGAATTTGTGGTCTTTGTTCAATCTTAGGATGTCATATAGTGCATTTGAACTTTCTTTTTTCTTAGTTGGTCATTGAACTTTTCCTTTTTGAGATTGGTCGCTAGGTTGAAGAACTTGCATCCCTAGTTTTACTAGCTGGAGCAAATACCTCTACAGGAGTATAGAATATTTTTGGCATATTTGTGTTTTTATATGTTTTGCTTACAATTGTGTGAAATCAAGTCGGAGTGCTATTTCTCACGTGCATGATCATAGCTCATTCCATCTTTTGGAGAATTTGTTGAGTTCACATAGGGACCGTGAATACCAATGTCACCTTCTTGAGTGTCACTACCACTATAGCAAGATTAGATTTATGTGCTCTCCCTTTATCTACTCATGCTTTTACTATACTAGTCCACATTCTTTGCATTAGGCAACACAATGTGGACATCAATTCAGAATTATTTAATAAATATGGATAATTGAAGCCCCCCTGGACTTCCTCTAGTTGCAGGACAAGACCAATACCAATCAACACTTTATATAGATTTTATTACATATATTATATTAGAGAAAGAGCAGTTAACATGCTTTATTTTAAAATTATAAAAACATAGTGAATTAATAATTTGAGAAACAATGCCAAAAATCGTTTTATTATGGAAGGAAATCTTATTTATTAGACTCTAACATGTAAAGATAAATTAATTTCTATTCTTTGTTATCATAAGTTGGCAATTTTTTTAAGACTTTTATTTATAAAAATAAATTTTAAGAAAGCATCGTAATCATTACGTGAAAGTAAAAAAACTAAAAGAAGTTTATGAAATTTAGAATGTACTTTTAATATAAAGATACTTTGATCGTTATAAATTGATTGCATTATCCAAAAATGAGGTTTTGGAATATAAAGAGAGCAACAAAATCTAGGGCTTTTATTAAGTCAAACAAAATGGATGATTATTAATGCCTGGTGATAAATGATTCATGCCAATGCTAAGAAATTCAATATAAGCTATTCCTTTCTACAAGAAGGTGCGGTCATACTAGCACTTACGCACCTGATCCCATCAAAACTCCGAAGTTAAGTACACTTGGCAAGAATAGAACTAGGATGTTCCCATAATACTTGTGTAATGTTTTATTTTAATACATTCAATAATATTTGTAAACAAGAGATTCCTTTCCATAATAAAAATATCAATGTTGTGTTTGCTAGGGATCGGGGGACAATATTGATTGCTCAAAATTGTACCATATGCTTGCCACAATATCATGCTCGTTTCGAGAACGTTGAGAAATATTGTCAGCCCTCTCGCACCCATACAATATTTCAATTATTTTTCCAAAAATGGATGTGATGATATTCCTTACCTTGCATTTACTAATATAGACCATTATTAGAAACATAACAAAGTGACATTACTTATCAAAATTCCGCAATATATTTGGCACAATATTGCAATCATTTCGCTAATAGCTCGAAGCCATTTTCAATCTACTCATAAAGAAAACAGAAGTCCATTGATTTTCCAAAATTATTATAGATGGTTAAAGATGATTTTGATCATGTTCATTACGATCAAGATCGGTTCAAGCGCTATTGAGAAAATCACGGTGATCTTTCCAAACACATCATTATTATATATATGATTTTAAACCCCAACACTATGATTCGATCGAATGTTGGAAATATTGGGTAACAATATTTTTTAAATAGTCGCTATACATTTACTGTCCATGGATGAACAAAAACGATTGCATATACTCGTACGGGGGCAGATTTTCCCATTAAGAAATATTGCTTGCTCAAAATTCCTCAATATGCTTGCCACGATATCATCCTCATTTGGAGAAGGCTTAGAAATATTATCAGTCCTCTCACACCAATACAATATTTCCATGATTTTTTCAAAATTGCATGTGATGATATTCCTTACCTTGCATTTACTAAAATAGACCATTATTAGGAAAATAACAAAACGACATTAGTTATAAAAATTCCGTAATATGTTTCACACAATATTGCAATCATTTTGAGAATAGCTCGGGGCCATTTTCAACCTACTCACAAAGAAAACAGAAGTCCAATAATTTTCTAAAATTAGCATAGATGGTTAAAGATGATTTTGATCCCAAGTTTATTACAATCGGGATCGGTTCAAGCGCTATTGAGAAAATCACAGCTATCTTTCCAAACACATCATTATTATATATATGATTTTAAACCCCAGCACTATGATTCGATCGAATGTTGGAAACAATGGGTATCAATATTTTTAAATAGTTGCTATACATATACTGTCCTTGGATAAACACAAACGATTGCATATACTCAAGGGAAGATTTTCCCATTGAGCAATGTTGAACGCTCAAAATTCCACAATATGCTTTCCACAATATCATGCTCATTTGGAGAAGGCTTAGAAACATTATCAGTCCTCTCACACCAATACAATATTTCAATGATTTTTCCAAAAATGGATGTGATGATATTTCTTACCTTGCATTTACTAATATAGACCATTATTAGGAAAATAACAAAGCGACATTAGTTATCAAAATTCCGCAATACATTTGGCACAATAGTGCAATCATTTCGAGAATAGCTCGGAGCCATTTTCAACCTACTCACAAAGAAAACAGAAGTCCATTGATTTTCCAAAATTAGCATAAATGGTTAAAGATGATTTTGATCCCATGTTTATTACGATCGGGATCGGTTCAATCACTATTGAGCAAATCATAGTGACCTTTCCAAACACATCATTATTATATATATGATTTTAAACCCCGCATTTGATCAAATGTTGGAAATATTGGGTAACAATATTTTTTGAATAGTTGCTTACTATCCTTGGATAAATTCCCATTGAGTGCATCATCAAGACCTTCAGCTGAATGATCAAATTAATTAAAAGAAATGAACATCTAAATGGATAAAAGGCCATGGCCAGCTAGTTGACTAGCTTAAAAAATAATCACGTGCATGTTGCCCATTTTCTTGAAGCTTGGGGCACTAAAAAATGAAAGGCATAAATTTTATTCGTTAAATTTATAAGATTGCAATAAAATGACTATCATATAAATACATACACTTTCTTCACCGCCATTCCTTTCGGTAATCCACCGGGAACACAAAAGAGAGTCGTATCTCCTACTCTTCCCCCAATATTCACAATTTGGGGGAATAGAGAGACGTATCAGACGGTGAATTACTAAAAATGGCCGGCTCAAATCTATCCTCATTGTGAATATATGACAGTGTTATTATTATAAAGGCCAGACGTTGTGCCTGGCGGAGGACATGCAAGAACCAGAAGCATATTTACCCTAAATTTCCTGCAAATTTACTCCCTTGGATCTTCAAACCCTAGAAATCTCGAGCCCCGGAGAAAAAAAATCTAAATTTCTTTGTCATCTGGGGTCTATTCTTCGATGGTTTCGGCACACTTGGTCCGGTTGAGGAAATTCAAGCTCTGCAACATGAATGAGAGCTAGGGGTGTTTCACGGGGCTCACCTTTGGGGTTTCGGTAACGCTGGGGCACTGTAACTCTAGGTCGTGGTACTGTGCCTGTGTTGACTGGCTGTGTTTCACGTCGCGAATGGAGGTTGATTTGCCTATGGAGACTGATGGTCTCTCTCCTTGTGACCGTATTGTTCTGGTATGGCTTCGAATATTTTTTTTTGACTGAGACTAGGGTTTTTTGATACATTTAGATTCGTCGTGTTTGGGCTATTTGGGTTTAGTTAGGCCTGCGTATGTTGGAAGTTTAGATAATTTGATCATAGAATTGTTGATGAAATGCAATGATCTTTTTATTGTTGTTCATGTTTTCAATCTTCTGAGGGTTTGTCCGGTTTGTGGGGTAATTCGGGATGGCGCATTAAGATTCTTGTTATTCTTTAAAAAAAATAAATTTTTTCTCTCAAAAAAAATTAAGATTCTTGTTATTAATTTTATATTTTTGGAGAAAAAGAATTGTGTTGGCTAGGTTAACATTCTCAAAAAAAAAGAAAAGAATTGTGTTGGCATTGGATAGTTTGCCTTCTCTATGGGGTTATGGACTCATTATTGAATGGACTTCATGGCACAGTCTAATGGAATTTGGAAGTAATTTTTTTGCTTGTGTGCTTAATTCAACTTTTTCCCTATGCATATACACTTATTTTTATCATTAATTAATAGCTTGAATAAGTATAGAGACTCATGCCTTTACATGCACGCATACTGATACATTCACGCATATACACATGTGTGTATACGCACAGCGTTCTTGTGTGTGTGTGGGCGTGCATATAAATGCATGCAGATTATGTATACACATGCATACATGTGAGCACATAGATGTTGCATTGAATCAGGTGCTCATGGTGGGGCACCCATGCTTCAAGAGGGATATATTAACGGCTTTGCCAGATTATTTTGGTCACTGGACATCATTGAAATTTTCTTCGCTGAATCTTTTAGTATGCTTCAGCAAGACCACGAAGCCAGATCCCCAACTTGCTTGGTCTTGGGTATCTTGGCTCTCCGAAAGAGCCCATGCTTTTGGCTGGTCATGGCAGCTAGTGGCAATCATCTTTAGCACCATGTACTTATTTCCTTCTAAATGATGGGGATGCATCTTCTGGACTAGGTGACCTGTTGTAGCCACATCAAACTAAAGTTATGGCTCATGCAACCCTCTACTATTTCAGACATGATCATGAAGCTTTAAATGAGAAGTCTCACACCTTGCATGCATTTAGATAGCGTAAAAGTATTACTTCACAAACTCGTGCACCCTCGTGCCTAAAGAGCCATGCATTTGGGGTGTTCAACCGTCATCCTTTGAGATTGACATATTGAGACTCTTATCAAGGGTGTCTAAGCATCAAAAGACAAGAACACAGAGCAGGGTTTAAGTTTCCGATACGAGGCGTTAGGATGAAACACACCCTCCCCACCCTCGTTAGTATTAAAGATGGAGTTATTCATGATGCTCCCCAAATTATGTTATTCCCTTAGTCTCTTGTTAGGACCTCTTCTCAGGCCAGAGTTTTGTTTAAGGCACTCTAAGAACCGACCAAAATCCTTACTCCCTGCATTCTGTAGTTGTAGATTTTCCTTCAAGTGAAGGGCCAGTTTGAATTTGCCCTTAAATCTATCACTGGTACTTTTACTCTGGATCATGGAGAAAGAAATTATTAAAATTTGAAATTTTCTGAACTGGCGTGGGCAATGCACTTGTATACAGGGCAAGAAAGGGACCTAATCCAAGATAGCAGGAATAGGCAAACCTCTCCTTTTTGTACTTCCTATAAAGGACCAGGTGGGCAGACTAACATGAAGTACGTGTCCCTTTCAAACTGCCCCAAAGATTACTACTTAACCCTAATCTGGTGATGTTTAACTTTCAACCCTTGATGAATCTAGGGGATGGATTTACCCTTTTGTGGTGGATTACTATGATGTCTAGAAAGTGCTTGTGGCGACTTGGGACTTGCATGATTTGACTTGGCTTAGAAACCTACTGAGACTTGTCAGTCATAGGAGTATTGGCTTGACTCAATTGAGACTCAGCTTGGGATTGCGTCAAGTCCCATACCAAGTTTGGGGTTTCATACTTTGCTTCTTTTCAGGCACCAACTCCTTGTAATCGAATTTTTTGTCGATTGGATTTTGCGAGATATAAATATGGTTCTATCTTATGGTTTGGATTGAGATAGCTCCAGGGCTATCGAACAAAGGATTATCCTTGGATCTACACCGAGGCATTGACTTGACGGTGATTCTCAAATATCGTAGGATGTGATACGATGATATATAATGGAATATAAATGAGGACAGGGAACAGGTTATCTACTCCAAACGGTCAAAGCGATCCCTTTAATGAATCAAATCTCTCCAAGTAGGATCGAACCTACTACTAGTTAGTTAGAAGTCGATCGCTCTACCATTGAGCTATTGACGAACAATGGGAGATTAGATCTCATAGAGTTCAACTCTTGTTCTCACCCCATGACCTATATGGGAAGCTTCCTTCATAACTTTCGGAACCCCTTCGTAGTGGCTCCTTTTTGGAGTTTAGGTTGGTAGTCCATACTCAAGATATGTGGCCTATCATGTAGCTTGGAACGTCTCTATCTCTAGTCTATTTGCATTGATATTTTGTGCTAGAAAGATTATCCCCTGGTTGTACTTGAGATGTTATTCTTCATCTGTTTTGCCATATGGCTGCTTTTTATATATTATTTTCTTATATTTAATGTGCAGAGTTTTCTCTATAAATTTTCTTATATTTGATATGCAAATTTAATTCAGCAATAATAAAGAAGGTATGCACCATAGTTGTTGGAAACGCCTGGGAACTCGAATCGTTTTAGGAACCGGAATCGCGGAACTGCTATCGGCTAAAAGATTCCTATCTTAAGAATCATTGTCCATACAATAGGAACTGCTAGGCACGAGATTCCTAGTTTTTGAGAATCGTGTTTCTACAGTAATAGATCCAAGTTTCATCCGCATATGGAATTGAGATTTCGTCCTCCTTGGAATCAAGATTCCCATCTCCCTGGAATTAACACTCCAGGAGTCGAGATTCATTAATATGCGGAATCGAGTTTCTGACATCTATAGAATCGAGTTTCTGGTATATGTGGAACAAATATATGTTGCTGTTTCGAATTGTGATTCTAACATATTTGGAATCAAGTTTCTGAAGTATATGGATTAGAGATCTATGCCAATTTGAGGTAGAGATTTACAATAATATGGACTATGGAATTTGTTTGACGACCCGTACCAGGAATCGATATTTCATTTTTATGGATAAGCCACAAGCACATGTTGAGCCTCATCAACTTTAGAATCTATATTGGATGTCTCTTATTAGAAGATTTCCCAAATTTTAAAGTGATTGTGTTGACTATTGAACTTACGATCATTATATACAAAAGATAGGTATTTCTAAATTGTGATTTTGACTTCATTATTATAAAGACAAAATAGGATTATGTCTACTCCATGATTTTACTTTTAATTGTATATGTTGTATTTACCAGTTATATTTTAAATTTAACTAAAGCCCATCCAGTGTGTGACAAGTAAAATAATGTAACCCTGCAACCACTAGAAGCATTCAAAGGAAGATTTCTACTCCAATTGACGTGGAATCAAGATTTAATCCTCATTGGAATCCAGAATCGATATATTTGGGAACGTCTAATGGGTTCAAGTTTCTAAAGATGTGTTGGATCAAGATTCCGAAATTAAGGAATCGAGTTTCCTTGGTTTTGATAAATGGTTTCTAAAGATGTGTTGAATTGAGATTCCAAAATTAAGGAATCGAGTTTCTTTGGTTCTGAAAAATGGATTCTAAAGATGCATCGAATCGAGCTTCTGAAATTAAGGAATCGAGTTTTCTTGGTTTCGAAAAAAGGTTTCCGTGGAGATTCCTTAACGGAATTGCGGAATCGAGTTTCAGAACCGGAAGCACGAGGTCGGTGGAGAGATTTTGGTAACTATGGTATACACCATAAGAAGACCTGAAAAAATGGAGAAAAATTATGGAAAAAAGCTATAAAATGGATATAAACTAGAACAAAAAGTTTAAAAACAGTGGTACTGGAAATTTGGAATCAATTGAAAGATAGCAAAAAGATTACCGTTGAATCATGTTGTTGGGTTTATTTTCAACTCGGTACACTTCAACTATTTAGCTGGTACATCATCATCATCAACCAAGCCTCATCCGAACTATTTGGGGTCGGTTACATGAATCCTGTTCCGCCATTCTGCTTTATCAAGTGGCCATATCCTTAGTCAGACCATATATTGTCATATGTTTTTTTACTACTTCCATCCATGGCATTTTAGAGCTTTTCACTTGAATCAAAACACCCATCCTAACCAGAGTTGTTCTAGGTTGACACTACACATGACCAAAACCACCTAAGTTTACTTGTCCTCATTGAGCCAGTGCATGTCTTGTGAAAAAACGAGAGAGATATATTGATCTTATGTGCTTCCAACTTCCAAGTTCGTTATATGGCCCAAAACATTGGGTGTTAATATGTTATTTTTTTTGTCTAAACTTAGAAATATGCTCATTTTTATAAAATTAAGGGGAGTTTGGTAACATATGATCAATTTGGAATTTTTTTAATGAAATTGGTGGGACGAATAACAGCTTATGGGCTTCTAAGATTCAGTAGGGTCATTGCAGCACTGCTTAATTTCCTTTATTAACAAATTGCTCCTTACTTTCTTCTTATGGCTTGGGTTATTATGGTATAAAAAGTTGTTTTGGTTTGAGATTAGATTGTCTGGAATAACAGTTTTATGTGGACTCATGCCTTTTCTTTTGTTTTGTTCCCCATTAATGTGTTATAAATCTATGTACCAGAGACTTGTCCAATTTGGACTGCCTAAATCGTATGCCGAGAAATTGCAACCTGGTCTTGTTGCTTATGCTAAGATGAGCAATGCCCAATTGTCGAAGTTGGTACATACCATCTTACCAACAAATGAGGTTATACTTGAGGCCTGCTTAGTTACCGGATTGGAAGAGGCCAGACGAGCTTTGAATCTTCAAAAAGTGAAAGATGAGTTTCGAGAAAGCATTTTGTGGCTACAATGGCTAATGTTTGGAAATTCTCCACACACTGTATTGGAGAATTTGGCAAAAAGTAGTACTGGCCAGCATGGTGTTTGTGGAGCAGTTTGGGGTAATCAGGACATCGCCTATCGTTGTCGAACTTGTGAACATGACCCAACCTGTGCAATTTGTGTGCCCTGTTTCCAAAATGGTGACCACAGAGGCCACGACTACTCTATGATTCACACTAATGGTGGATGCTGTGACTGTGGAGATGAAACTGCATGGAAGCGCCAGGGTTTCTGTTCAAAACACAAGGGGCCTGAACAGGTCCGGCCTCTTCCAGAGAAGATTGCAAATTCTGTGGATCCTATTCTTGAGGAGCTTCTGGTTTGTTGGAAAAATAGGTTATCAGATGCAGAAACTATTGCTCATAAGTCTCCTAGAGATGGAAACCAGAATCCCATACTGACGATTGCAAATGTAATGTCTTGTGTAGTTATTGAAATGCTATCAGAATTTTGCCAGTGTAGTGAAAGTTTGCTCAGTTTCATTGCTAAGAGAATGTTTTCATCATCCATTAATTTATTGGATGTTCTTGTAAGGACAGATAGATTCTTGATCAAGAAGATTGTTAAGAAGCTACATGCATTGCTCTTAAAATTGTTGGGTGATCCAAACTTTAAGTATGAATTTGCGAAAGTGTTCATAAAAAATTATCCAAGCATCATGTCTGAAGCTATTAGAGAGTGTCGTGAACAGCGAGAAGGGATTCTCATGGACAATGGATCTGAGAAGTATCCGCTGCTGTCCAACTTCTCTGTACAAATCTTTACGGTGCCAACTTTGACCCCAAGACTTGTAAGGGAGGTTGATCTTCTAGATGTCCTGCTGGGAAGTCTGGAGGAGTTTTTTGCATCTTGCATAGTTGAAGATGGCCATTTGCAGGTAATGCGTTGATTTCTTTTCGCTAAATTCTATTTGAGATCGTTCATTTACTTCTTTTGAGGTGCTTGTAAAGAGTTTCAGGGATTCATTCTTTCTGTTATGCTTCTTATAGATTGCATTAAGTGACTGCAAATTATCTCAACTTTTGTTAATCATAAAATAGATAAAACAACTTTTGGCTTTCAAATCATGCAGTAGTTAAAGCTTTTCAACTCTATTATAGTATCTACAGATTACAATATGCCACTTTATGTGTATGCTTCAGTAAAGCATACCGTTTTTTTGTTGTTAAGGAATTTTTTTACGTACTAAGTTATGCATGAAATACACTTGCTATGGATTTTGTTGTGTATATAGTACATAGAAATGCATATAGACAAGCTTGTTTTCACTAGATTACACATCACACAGAGGCAAGTGAGCTTCCGCTATATACGTCCATATGTGCCTATGAGTATTGTTGTTTCTGTGAAGGAATACTATTTTATTCCATGCTTTTCTCATGCTGATTATAAAAGCTGGGTTTTCACCTTTTAACTTTCAGCTACCAGCAAGAGGTGCCTCCCAGTTGCTATATGGGTTCAAACCCTGTACTGGTTTATAGTTGATTGTTTCAAAAAGGAAGGAAAACTTGAGAAACTTGATCAATGATCACTCAAACTTTAATACTTGCATGCGCTCTTCTGATATTGGATGAGAATAACTATAGAAAGTTCGTTTCATAGTCTAGAATAGTTTCTGAGCTAGTTATTTGTAATGTTTTGCAAGGTAGACTGTGGCATAAAATGTATGATCTTTTAATGTGCAGATTATATTATGTTTTAATTATATAAATATAGTATGTTATACATTGATAAATATGTAATTCTTTTACAAATTATTTAGTTGTATGTAAAACAATTTATTTTATCATCCCAATTGCCATTTAAATTTTACTTGTTATATGCTAATATACTCTATGTCATATAGTTCAAAATAGGAAGAACTAACAATTTGATATGGAGTTTACTATTAGCTTCTACATTCTCATTATTTGAGATGTATTTTTCATTTGTTCTTTCTTTGATTTCTCTACTTTCGTAATTGTTTATTAATTAATTTTGCTATTTGTTTGACCTAATTATGTCAGCTTCTATTCTCAATCCCGCTGAAACCCTCATCATTCCCTGCTTTAAAAACTTCTTCCAGCAATTTGAAGGAAAAAAATATCTCTTTAACCCAATTTTCACATCTTACAACTTGTTGCCAGTCCTTGATCTTATTTGCAAGATTCAGGTGTGCCAACAACATAAGCACCATGTGAAAGAAAACAATTGATTGTACTGTTGTAACCCACAGCTTTCCTGTCATTTGGCTTTGGTTTAGTTCGTACTTCTCAATCAAATGTTGGAAAACTCTCTAGAAACGTTGTAGAAATTCTTTTTTTCATAAATATGTAAGCTATCTGGAGAAATGTTGTCTGCTGAGCTGTTTCTGTGATCATGTGAGCATGACTCTGCCACATTTCAACTGCATCACTGTTGTATCTTAAAGTGGATGTGCTCAAATTTGAGGAGTTGCAGGGAAGTATACAGATGTACTTTGGTTGTGGTTATTGTGCTTATTTTATTCCTGGTTTGAATATCCTTCCACTTCTATTTGTGAGTTTGCCTGTGAATGAATTAGTATTGTACAATGAATAATGACATGAACCTTTTGCAGGTTGGTAGATTTTCTGGTTTATATGATCTCTGTTTTCGCTTGGTTGAAGATATACGCTTTGTTATGAGCCACACAGAGGTTACCAAGTTTGTGGCTTTAGAGCGACGAGATATTTCAGAAACATGGATAGGGCTTTTGGCTACTATGCAAGGCATGGACCCCCAAAAGAGGGTTACTGGTATTCATGTTGAGGAGGAAAATGATAGCTGGAGTTCCTCCTTTCTGCTGGAGCATGTAATGGCAAACATACATCCTCTCTTTGTAACGGGGGCTTTTTCTTTAGGTGATGACAAAGAGTTGAAAGATCATCGTCTCTTTGATAAATGTTTACTTGAGTTGGATGATGGTAATCTTCGACATGCAAAAATTGGTAGACTCTCTGAGGAAAATTCTGTTCGTAGCATGACGGGGAGAAGCAATTTATGGCATAACTCCCAGGAGATTAACCAAGTGTCTGTCTCAGAATGCTGTGATTCAATTCCTTCTTCAGTGACATGGTTGATTTTGATATGCATGAGAGCCATTGAGAACTGGTTGGCACATGATCCAGCGAGGGGATTACAAGGAACTTCTGATAATTTGTTGAGGAGATGGAAATCAAAATCTAAGACTAAGAAAAATAGAGGCTGTATAACTGGAATGGCTGGAGAGAGTACCCCACAGCTGGACAAAGAATTGGCAATCAGTAGTGTATTCAGTTTGCTGGAGTGGCCTGAAATTATTTATGATGTCAGTTCACAGCAAATATCTTTTCACATTCCTTTGCATCGATTCCTCTCACTATTGTTGAATAAAGCCTTGGAAACATATTGTGATTCGTCTGGAATGGCTCACACTACAGCTGCCAGTTCACAGAGTCCATTACCTGGAGGTTCTCACGAGTTCTTAAGAAAGATATTGGGAAGATGCCATCCATGTGGTTTTTCAGCCTTCATGATGGAAAATCCATTACGCTTAAGGGTTTTCTGTGCACAGTTGCAAGCTGGCATGTGGCGAAGGAATGGCCATGTAGCCATTTCCCTCTATGAATTGTATCATTCTGTACGATGGTAAGAAGGTGGTTCTTAGTGAGTTTATCAGTTGAAGTGAGGTACTTTATATTCTAGAAGAATATGTTCTTACTTCCCGGTGCTTCATGTTGCCAATCATTCAGGTGTGAACAAAGTTTAGAGCTCGATCTATTTCTGTTGCAATGTTGTGCTGCTTTGGCCCCACCAGAGAACTTTGTTCGTAGAATTCAGGAAAGATTTCGGCTGTCAGATTACCTTTCTCTAAATCTGAATCGCTCTAATGAGTATGTTATCTCTCTATGCTGTCTCTTTTATGAAATGTATCTTTCATTCCTGATTACCTTTCTCTAAATCTGAGTCGCTCTAATGAGTATGTTATCTCTCTATGTCGTCTCTTTTATGAAATGTATCGTTCATTCCTGATTCTCACTATATGTGCCATTTCTATATACTGAAATTGATAGTTTGATTGTGTTCAGTCTATTGCTGCTTTCTTTTCTATTTCTTTGATTATTATTGATGACATGGTTGATAAGCAACAAACTGTCTCTGCTATGTTTTTTATGTAAAATAGACTATGGTTTTGTTGGTTGGCAGGTTATGCATGTATATACATCAGACATCATATTCAATTCTTACATGGGGGAGGTTTTGATGCTTTATGGTCATCTGACTTTGCCCGAAATAGTGGATAATGTGCACCCAATTTATGTATATACATATACATTTGGCAGCCAATTTTAACTACTTAAATAAGATGGTAATATGATAAGACTGGTTGCATAGTGGCTCCTTATGAAAGCATTTGATATCCAAGAGTCATCCTTGGCAATAAATCTTTAATTTATCCAGTTTTTCTCTAGATTTGTGGACTAGTGATTTCCCTTTAATCCAGTGGTTTACCATTTTGAGAGTCACCTTAGATAATTACAGGCCCTACGAAGCTAGCTTTCTGGATTTTCATTCCAGCTGGGGCTGCCTTGTGTTCATCCTGAACAACATTCAACCTATGTTTTTTCTCCATCTAACTTTTCAATCACCTCTTCCTTGTTCCTTATGCACCCCCAAAGCCTCTAAGTCCTAGACTCCCCAAGGCAGCTTAACCAAACTCGATCTTGATCACTCCACTTTTAGAGGGGGTGGGTAGCCATTCTATCCGAGGCCTGATTCTCAGATTTGTAATGCCTGCCATTTCTTGTGACATAAGGTTGGTTAGAATCGTAGTTACCGGGATCTCCTACTTTGGTAGGCTATCCCTTCGAGGATCTCAATTTTGTCGCTCTTGGAATGGATCTCTTAGGGATCTCGATTTTTAAATTTTGGGATCTCGAACCCCACTCATAGGAATCCTGATTTCTGCTGTTGGGGATAACGATCGCAACCTTAAAGACCAAGATAATTACCAAACTGATAATTGTTTTTGCTTATAGCCAACTAGCAACACAACCATTGCTTGCTTGCTATCCGTCATAAGGTCCCTATGTTAAAAGTTTACATAATTCTCTATTGTCATACACATTAGGTTAGTACGAGATTCCCAAAAAGTTCGGATCAAGATCCCAAAAGGTCGGGATCAAGATCCCAAAAGGTCTGGATCAAGATCCTCAAAAGGTTAAAAAATCTCGATCCCTAACATTTAGGAATTTCGATCCTTAACATGTGCATTGTACGGACGGCGTTCCCGACCATAGGGATCTTCTAGCATTTTACGATCCCTCGCTCCCGATCCCGATCCCGATTCTGATCCCGGTACCATTCTCGCTCCCGATCCCGATCCCGGTACCATTCTCGCTCCCGATCCCAACAACTATGGTTAGAATTTTCAGGATCTTTAATCTACCCCATAGAATGCAGTTATAGTTTTCTTCCAAGCACATATGACGTAGCAAAGAAAGTAGACCACCGTATGGCTTGCCCTTTCTGGTTCCATTTCATCCCGCTCCATTGCTGCAACAACAATGTGTGTGCCCCTGCACACGCTTCACGTATATTTGATTATTAATATATCGTTGGAAGCTATAATAGATTTCACACCCATTCGGTTCGGTCTTTCTTATTGGGAAAGGAGAGGAGTGTGTATACTCTGCTGCCACCAGCCCTATCCTCAAAAACTCCCTCCCCTTTTGCCTTCCTTGAAGAACTGGCACTGGTAGTCGCCTTCCATTTTCCATAGAAAGTGAATCTTAGAAAAATAGATTAACCATAAGTTCTTGTATTTTAATAAGGAATGAACATATGACTTTTCCGTATGCATTACAGTTTAATGTGTCTGGGGCTTGATATATTAGTGCGATGAGGATATAAACTGGCAGATGTGTTAATCTACATGGTGATGTGTGGGCAACCACTATAGCTTGCAGCGTGCAGTGTTGGTCATGTAGATGGGGAAGTTGTCAAATTAACATGGGGAAAGAAACTAACTTGCACGGTGAGGTAGTGTATATCAAGCTTGTAGAGAGGGACCTGAGTGGGACTGGCGTCAAAAGATTGCAAAGACTTGGTTTATGCTATCCTATGTGTGAGAGGGGGGAAAAAAGGAAAAATAAATAGTTTTGTATTGAGTTTTGTATCAGATGTAGTTTTTTAATGTTCATGTTCAAGACCATGGTTGCTGGATCCTGGATGTTATGGTGGTGAATGATGGTTTAATCTCTTTAGTCTAATTGCATCTTCAATTATTAACTAGTAGATAGTGAATAACAAATAAGATCTTTGATGCAGGAAATAGAAAAAAAAGTCCAAAACAGTTAAATAAACCGTCAAAACAGGCCATGTTTGAGTAGACCTAGCTTTCCTTGCACAAAAAAGAGATCCCAAAACCCTTGATGGGACTTACTGTTACTATTCATAGGCCGTTTTTTCTGTTCACATCCTAAAAGTGTTAAGAGACCTTAATACCCCATGCCCTTTTATTACATTACAACAAAAAATAACCAAAACTACCCCCACTTAAGTTAAAACATTATAAAAATACTGCATAAGTCCCTTCATTTAGAAGAAAATTTGTAATGACGCTTTAACCCCTAATAAGTAATGCCATAAGTATTCTAACCACTTATTTAAACATCTCCTAAAATCCTAAAAAATATAAAAATTCCTAGAATTCCTAAAATAACCTAAAACCCCTAAAAACAAAACCCTAGAAAATTTAAAAAATACATCCTTAAAGTTTAATAAAAAATTCAAAAATTAAAAGGCATATTGTCTTGTATCATTTTCCCTTAGTTGGAGAATACTCGTCCTCGAGTTTTGAAGTGTGCTAAGATGAATTTAGCATCAAAACCACCACTTTCAACCCTCTTCTTTTTTATTAGCTCAAGTATTATTCGTGGTAAGAAGAAATCCGCAAGAAATTGATCTTGATATGGATAGTAAGGAGTTGATGCAAACTTATCAAATTTCCTTTAGTTTTGAATTCACATTGAAATTTACGTAAGAAACTTCAAACTTAATTTTTTGGCCTTTCAAGGCTTTCTCAAGAACTATTTCATTAATCCCTAAAACTGGGGTCACGATTTGTGGTTTACGAGTCGACGACACTTGCTCTGCGTTATTCTGATTCTAATACTTCACCTCTTTGATATTCTTGAGATCTTCAAAAGCCATGGTTTTAATAAGTCCCCTTGTTGCCTTCTCTCCATATTCTTCCCGAGCAAGATCGTCTTCCAAAACATCTTCATCTTCATCTTGATCCTTATCATAGATTGGATCTCCTAATAGATCTTGTTCATTCGAGCATATATTGAAGATTTGCCACAATCTGCAACCTGCTGATTTTGGATACATCCTTCGTCAAAATTAAGTTTCTCAATTTTTCATCTCTAGGATCACGAGGTGGATTTTGGAAAATTCCCCCCCTTCCAGAGTTCCTTCTTGAGACCATAGAACTATCAAAATCACAAACCCTAGGCAGAGAATCAACAAAAGTTCGCTGTAATCAGCAAGGTCTAGGCTGATTTGGCATAACTTGGCCCAAAATCAGCAAACCCTAGACTTTGTTCTAGATTCCCAGCTTTGTTGTTCAAGAAAACCTAGGCTCTAGTATTAATTTGTTGTAGGAATATTGAGAAAAGAGGCAAAAAACAATTTATATAAACCATCAGAAAAGGCGAAATTTGAGTGGACATCACTTTCCTTGCACAAAAAAGGAACCCAACACTCTAGATAGGGTATGTTGTTACTATTCACAGCCTATTTTTACTGTTCACACCCAAAAATGTTAGAAACCCTAGCACCCGAGGCTCTTTTATTAGATTAAAAAAAAAAAAACCGCACTTTAAGTCAAAAGATTATAAAAATACTCTATAAATCCCTTCATTTAAAAGAAAATTCGTAATGACACTTTTACCTCTTAGGAAACAAGTAATTTCATAAGTATTCCGACCACTTTTATGAATATCTCCTAAAATCTGAAAAAATATTAAAAATCCTAGAATCCCTAGGAAAGGTGAGTCAATACTCATCTAAATACTAATGCTAATGAATCTTCTTGTGATAACGGAGCAAGTCAAGGAAGAGGAGGTACCCATAAGATTCTTATTAGTAAGTAGGAGGGAAGCGAGTGAGAAAACTACAGAGCGTGCTAGCTGCGAAGAAAACGTAGTGCGCTAGCGCGCATGTAGGCTTTTGAGCTAGCGAAGACAAGCAAGAAAACGGATGCGCGTTAGCGCAACAGTTTTCGAGCTAGCCGTTGCTTATTGCTTTTGACCTATTGAAGACAAGCAAGAAAATAAATGCGCTGGCGCGAAAGCTAACAACCAATGGCTAGCATGAAAGCCGTTGCGTTGGCTCGAAAGCCAACAAGCAACGGCTAGCGCGAAAGCCGTTGTGCTAATGCGCATCCGTTTTCTTGCTTATCTTCGTTGGCTCGAAAGCAAGAAGCAATGGCTGGCTCGAAAGCAAGAAGCCGTTGCGCTAACGCGCATCCGTTTTCTTGCTTGTCTTCACTAGCTCGAAAGCCTACTCGCGCGCTTCCCTCCTACTTCCTAATAAGAATCTTTTGAATATCTCCTGAAATATTAAAAAATATAAAAAAAACCTAGAATCCCTAGAAAACTTAAAGCCTCTAAAAATTTTCCAAAACTATATCCTTAAAATTTAATAAGAAAAATCAAAAAATAAGAGGAAATCTTTTCTTGCAGGATTGCATCAATGTTTCAACCTTCATTGTTTATAAAAACATTGTAGAAAGGACTTGTGTGTGTTCCTTGGGCGTGGTAAATGCATTAGAATGTCTAGAATTTTTTCTTATTGGTGGCATTGTTTATTAGTTCATTGTGAAAGTGTACAACATTGTGTGTTGTGAAGAAAAAAGGAACAACAGAAAAATATATGACATGGGAGTTGGTCCTAAAAATCTGTGGCTGAGGGGCAACAACAAAGTTGCCTCTCAAGGCACCATCTCTTGCTAAAGAATCTGTTAGCCCACCAAATTCGTGCCAAATATGCACAAACGTTACTCACACCGTTTATGGATATTTCTAAGGGTACTTGCTTGTTGTCATGGGTATGGACATGCTTTTTTGGCCTATGTCCCAGTGTTAGAATTATATTAGGACTTGTGTTATTCAATTAACCTCATGTGATACCTCCACATTAGATTGATGTGGATGTTCAATTGTTAGAATGACCACTCATCTAGCTGTTAGCTACAGCAATCTACTGGCCTGTTCATGGAATTCACGTTGGGCAGTACAGTTCCTGTCTATTACTGATGCAAACATTATAGGGTTCCATATGTGGTTTCATGAAATAGTGTGATGGTGTGACAACTTGATATGCAGATTGAATCAGTGATCGGACAATCTGTTACCTTATCATCCTCCTTGGATATTTATATGAAAAAGGCAGATAATGAAAGAACCAGAATGTAATTACTGAAAGACTAAATTCATAATCTGCATTTGATGGATTCTGTACTTCGTATCAGTCAGCCACAAGTTATTTTTAACCTTTAAGCGTGTAGCCTATACAGAAAGGGGATATGTTATTGGCCTGTTTTCTGCTGGTTGTCTTTGTACGTAATTTTCTTATGTGCAATCTATTTGTCCAGACCAATGTTTAGCTAGTATTGCACGTACTATCAGTTTATTAGTAACAGTATATTGATGCCATTTTTGATGTATAGGTGACCCATAATTGGGAATTAAAATAATGACTTCATGCTGCAAATTATTATTGTCTTGATAAATGAAAAAATAATCCATTACTTATCTGACAGATTACTCCAGTTTTTCTCATTGTATGTTGCATAGATCTACGATTTATATGGAGCATATATTTCCTTTCTTATGTGTAAAGGTTAGATTCTAGATGGTGGATATGTATAAGCTTTTGATTGGGGTCATCTTGCCCTAATTAAAATAATGACTTCATGTTGGAAATTATTACTGTCTTGATAAATGAAAAAATAATCCATTACTTATTTGACAGATTACTCCAAATTTTCTCATTGTATGTTGCATAGATCTACGATTTATATGAAGCATATATTTCCTTTCTTATGTGTAAAGGTTAGATTCTAGATAGTGGATATGTATGAGCTTTTGATTGGGGTCATCTTGCTGGGTATTGCTTGGTGGATTCCAGGATCTAATTTCTGGTTCAAAGTAACATGGGTTGCTTCTTGATTTTGCTCCTTTTTATTGCTATTTGAGCAAATATTCATGTAACTAGTTCATTGGATTTTTGGATCTTTATGAAATAATGGGAAGGTATCTCTACTTTATGTGCTATCTGTAAGGGCCATTCTTTATCTTGTACTCAGGTACGAACCAGTTTTGGTGAAGGAAATGCTCATTCTTATCATTCAGATAGTTAAAGAGAGGCGATTTTGTGGACTTTCCAGTGCTGAAATATTGAAGAGAGAGTTGATATACAGGCTGGCTATTGGGGATGCTACTCACAGTCAGCTGCTTAAAGCTCTTCCTCATGACCTATCCAATGATGACCGGCTTCAGGAAATTTTTGATACTATTGCAACCTACATGAATCCATCTGGCATGCAACAGGTGAATAATTAGTTTAGGCAGTTCACTACAGTGATCCTGAAATGGTTTCATTTATATTTGAGCATTGACCATTTTTTGGTTTTCAGGGGAAATATTCTCTTCGTAAGGAGTGCTGGAAAGAATTAGACCTATATCATCCACGGTGGAACTCAAGGGATCTACAAGTGGCAGAAGAAAGATATGCTCGTTTCTGTGGGGTTTCTGCCATGGCAGTGCAGCTACCTCGCTGGTCAAAGGTGTTTCATCCACTTAGAAATATCTCTTGGATAGCCACTTCCAAGGCTGTCCTTGAGATTATTCGGGCAGTTTTTTACTATGCTGCTTTCTCAGAAAGTTCTTCAGCTTCACGTGCTCCTGATGCAGTTCTTCTTACTGCATTGCACCTGCTTTCATTGGGAATTGATATATGCCTTATGCTAAAACAGGGTAACACCAGTAATTGTAATGGCAATAATGACTTGTCAATTACCCCTGACCAGGAGTATGCAGGTACTCCATGCAATGGAGAAGATCCATCATTTCCACTGTTGTCTCATGCATGTGAAGAGGTTGAGGTTGGTGCGACTCATGAACCTGAAGTATCTAATCATCAAAGCTTACTTTCTCTCTCAGTTTTGCTAATTAAAAAATACACCAAAGAAAATGAGTCTGGTGTTCTTGAATCAAACCATTGCAATATCCCCTCATTGATGAGAAGCTTGTTAAAGAAGCTTGCTGAGCTTGATGCTGGCTGCATGAATGAACTGAAACATCTTGCGCCTGAGATTGTTTGTCATTTATCTGAGCGCTCACACAATTCCTCTGATTTAGTTGCTTCTGATTCTGAGAGAAGAAAGGCAATGGTTCGTGAGCGTCAGGCAGCTATACTGGTGAGCTATACTTCCAAATATTTAATGGTCTTTTCGAAATCTCAGGTGTTTGTCTGGTTTTGTTTCTAAATATTGTCAGGGCAAAAGCAATTATATCTTTTAATAGCTATAGATGATTATATGCTTCCATTTTAATCCACAGAATGTTTAAATCATTCCATGCGTGATATTGTTATCTACCTTGAAGACTGTTTTCTTGCTGATTATTTCGAGTGTTGGATCTGCTGTGATTCTCATGGAATTGAGCATTTTGTTGTGTATCTTTTGGCTGTTCTCTTGATCTCTTCTTTGTATTTTTGTTTGTGTGGTATCGTCTTTTATGCTGCTCTATGCTTGTTGTATGTGTTAACTAGATTGCTCGCCTTGTAAACTCTGGTAAACAACAATGTTCAGTTGCTTTTCCCTTTAACAATGACATCTAAAGTAGTGGGACTTAGAACCAGAGAATTTGTTGTAAAAGTTCCTATAGGAACCTTGTTAGTGAGATGCATATGCTGTGCATATCCATTATAATCATTGCATGAGTTAAGTGTCAGAGAAATAAGTGATTCTCATTCATTGAAAAGGGAGCCCCTAGGTCTAGAGCCATTTGGCATAATTCCCATAATAGTTCGGCAAAAATAACCAAATTATCAATTGAACATTATGTACAACATAAGAATTGTGTTAGGTTGGCAACTAGTGTAAAACTTTTGCCACATCTATTTCATAAATCCTGATGCAATGTTATATGTTCATACTAGGGCGTTCCCTATAAGTGACGCGCTGTACTGGAATCTGGGTGCTGTGAGAAATTAGCGGGGGTTAGCTAGGGCGTTCCCTGGGAGCAACACACCACTACAATGTCTGGTTGAAGTGATAAGTAGGAAAGGGTTCTTGTGCTATTTTAGACAAGCTTGGATAAAGAAGGTAGACTAAGAGAATATGATTCATTTAGTTGCATAGAATGTAGGAACTCTAATAGGCTGAGTATGGAGTTAGTGGAGTTCTCATAGCTTGCTTATTGGAAACAATGTGGAAAGGGATAAAAGTTTAGGAAATAAATGAATATAAACTTTAGTATATGGGAAAAGATAATAAGATCAATGGTGTATGCGTTAATAGTAGGCGGAGATTTAAAGAATAAAGTACTAGATGTTAAGAGAATAGGTGATAAACTCCTATTAATTGAACTTGAGTTAGGCGAGAAGATAATTAATATAATTAGTGCTTACTCACCACAAGCATACTAGAGGATAGAATTAAAAGACAATTCTGGAAGGACATGGATCAACCAGTCCAAGAAATATGAAAGGGAGAGAGGAGTTTTTTAGGAGGGGCTCAAATGGTCATGTAGAAAAGATAGTAGAGGATGAAAAGGTACATGGAGGGTATGGATTCAGGGAAAGAAATGAGATGAGTGATGCTATTCTCGATTTTACTATGGCTTATGACCTAGCAATAGCAGATACTTACTTCAAAAGCGAGATAAACATTTAATAACTTACAAACATGGATCATATAAAAGCCAAATAGACTTCTTTCGAGTTAAGAAGGCCTTTCAACCATCATGTAACGACTGTAGGGTTATCCTAAGAGAGTTTGAGTACTCAACATGAGCTCATGGTTATGGATGTTTGCATGAAGAGACGGAAGATAAGTAGTGAAATTAATGTGTCCAAGAACTAGGTGGTGGAATTTAAAAAGGTAGAAATTTAGGAGTAACTTGATAAAAGAAGGACGATGGAATTCTAAGGACAAAGTTAATGTTATGTGGAATGAGACGATTGATTGTATTAACAAAGTGGCAAGATAAATTTAAGAAGAATCTAGAGGAAAAAGACACTCAAAAATTCCGGGTGGTGCCTAGGCGTAGTCTAGGGGGGTCTAGACCACCTAGCGCCTAGGTGGCCGCCTAGAACCTGTGTGGCCTAGGTTCAAAAGTGGGTAAGGGGTGTCCAAAAATCCTATTTTAGGTCTAGATTTTGTATAAAAAATGCATATTCATGCATTTTTTATAATCCCAACAAAAAAAGAGCAACAAAAATATCTCACCCGAGTGGGTATTTTTGCACCTAAGCGGGTGCAATCCCTTCATGGGCAGGCACTTAGGAATAACCCGCCTAGTTGGTCTGCCCAGGCTCGGGTGATCCACCTTGGCCTCCCTAGCCCGCCTAGGTAGATGCCTAAGCGTTAGGCAGACTGCTTTTTGGAATATTTTAGTTGACCAAGCTGTTCAACAAGATTTTGAGAGCAAGGAAAATGGTAGTCGAATGGAGAAAAATTATTGTGGTATCTATTTACAAGAATAAAGGAGACATACAAAATTGTATGAACTATTGTGAGATCAAAATATAAGCTGTGGGAGATAGTGATTGAGCAACAACTATGACATGAAAGGAGTGTATCAGAAAATCAGTTCGGTTTTATGTCCGGGGTAATCCAGTCTATTTTCCTAATTAGACAATTGATTGATAAGTTTAGGGAGAAGAGAAAAGACCTCCAAGTGGGTCTTTATTGATTTAGAGTAAGCATACGATACGGTACTTAGAAAGTTACTTTGGTGGGTATTGGAAGAGAAAGAAGTCTCTAGAGGATATATTGACATGGTAAAAATATATACAAGGGAGCGCTAACTAGTAAGAGGACAACTAATGGAAGGACAAGTGAGTTTTCAGTGATCGTGGGCCTATGTCAGGGGTCAACATTGAGCCCATATTTCTTTGTTTTGGTTAGGAGACAAGTTAACTAAACATCTACAAGATGAAGTATTGTGATGTATGTTATTTGCAGATGGCATAACTTTTATTGATGAGACTAAAGACGACGTCAACACAAAGCTGGAACTTTGGAGGAATGCTCTAGAATTTAAAGGTTTAAAATTAGCCGCACTAAGACAAAATAATGGAAATCAAGTTTAATAATAATAGGAATAGAAACGATGAATTAGTTAAGATTGATAGCCATGAAGTACCTAAAAGAGATTATTTTTAATATCTTGGGGTTGATAATCCATGAGAATGGAGAGATTGAGGAAGACATCGCACATAGAATTAGAGTTAGGCGCACGAAGTGGAGATGTGCTTCTGGAGTCTTATGGTAGCATCAAATACCATGCAAACTAAAAGGAAAGGTATATATGACAGCTGTAAGACCATCCATACTTTATGGGACAAAACATGGGGTGTCAAGAAACAATATATACATAGAACGTGGTTAGGTAGATGACGATGTTGAATTGGATGAATGGAAAGAGAAGAAAGGATGGAATTCGGAATGAATACACGTGAGGGAACTAAGGGTGTCTCCAATAGGCAATAAGATGAGGGAAAGTAGACTTGGGTGGTCTAACCATGCGCAGCATTGACCTAAAACGACACCAATTAGGAGGGCAATTTGTTTTTTTTTTTTAATATGTTCACTGTATTGAACAGAAAGTGAGTACAAAATGTGGGAGGAGAGGGGGGCAGGGTACCCACAGACGGGTTCTACCCAAAAAATAAGCGACCTACAAACGGGTGCCCTGTACAAAACCAAGGGTGTATCAAAAAAGCTTTACTTGAATTGGGCCATTATAACAATTCCAATCTGTGATGGGGAGTTGAGCGAAGGTTCCCTAATGGTTGCTCAGGTTGGCTTGAGACAAGGTTCAAACTGCCTTTGCTAGAGAATCAGCCTCACCATTTACTTCTCTCCAAACATGATTCCACGAGATTCGTAGATTCCTTGTGAGTTGACAAATTTCTTCGAATATGCTGTCAAGCCTCCAAGGCTAGGTGGCAGTGTTTAAGGCCCAGGCTATAACACTGTAAGAGTCACCTTCAACGGTTACATATTGCCCCCAGCTTAGTGTCTAACTTCCTGAGGCCTTCCCGGAGGGCAGAGGCCTCTGCAATTGTTGAATCACAGACACCAATGGGAATAGAAAAGGAGCAAAGGGTATCGCTGTTGTGGGAATAGAAAAGGAGCAAAGGGTATCGCTGTTGTGGTCGCGGAACAAGCCACCTATGCCTGCATGGCTTGGGTTTCCAAGAGAACACCCATTGAAGCGAAGCTTGATGTGGCCCTCTTAGGGTGGTCTCCAAAGGGAAGAGCGTGATGGCCTCTGAGTTTTGAGGAGAGAATGGGAGTCTAGTTGTGGAGAAAGTCAGAGTGGCAAAGGTTTTTGAACTGTTAGTGGGAGGGGCAATTTGTTTCCAGTGGAAGGCTATAAAAGGGCCAGAGGAAGACTCAAAAGGACATGGATAGAAGTAGGAAGAAGAGATATGGCCCTCAATAGAGTGGAATAGCGGAACAAGATTCGTGTAGCCGACCCCAAATAGTTGAGATAAGACTCAGAGGATGATAATGATGATGATGATGATGATGATGATGATGATGATGATGATGATGACGATGATGATACAAAATAGCAAGTGGCAAAACCTCCCACTCTCCTTCCCTCTTCAAACTCAACGCATTGTCGTTGAGGGAGAGTTTATCAACAAGAAACAGATGGTTCTTGGAGGTCATTGTCTTAGTAGGCAAATCAATGCTCTGTCGGTTGGCTAAAACATGTAAGAGACCGTTATCCTTTAAAAATCTTTTAAGAAATCACAACCAATCTCAATGTTCAATGTGCTTACGCCTCTCCAGATTGGGGGAAATCTGTTTACCGCTGATCTTTTTTCTGTGAAAAAAGAAAAGAAAGGAGGAGGAGGGGGGTGTGGGGGAGCTGAATAGATGCCCATGTCTTGAAGTAATGCCAAAATAAGGTAATCTAGTGATGAAGGAGATCAACTATGCTTGACCTTGTTACTAGTCTTAAAAGCGCTTGTTTTGTTTTTAACTCTTCCAATAACTGCGAGATTCCAGGGTAACATAATTGCTTATTGTAAAGCATCATAATTCATAAGAAAAAGTGACTTGCCAATAGGGTCTAGGGCTGTGAGAATGGAATGCTCCACTGCATCCAAAGATAGTGGATAATCTTATGATGAATAGCATATGGTAACGTTTGGAAGGAGTCTGAAATTGTTGTC